CGGAGGCAGCGCCCAAATGCCTTGCTAGCCAGTGTCCATGGCTCCTGCCGGATCTCTCAGGTACTATATGGAGATGGAGGATTTCCCCCAGTCAGGAGATATTGTCCCCCCACATTGGGACTGTCAAAACAAACACAGTGACCTTACCTGCTTATCTCTCCACGCAGGAAGCGAACAGCATTTGGAAGACAAAACCTCACATGCTGGTTGTAAAGTCTTAATAGATGAGCCTTAGACTAAGCTTGTATCTTCAAAGTATCAAAGAGGAGGAGGGGGAATCAGAGCTGGGAGGAACACTTGACCTTATTTGCAGAAATGAAATAATCCAACTTAAAGTGGGTTTTTCGACTACAGCTCTCCCACCGTGCATTTTAGCTAGAATGACTGTCGAAATAAATTGCAACTTACCACACCGTTTGCAATCAGTGTGACATCGGGACCTCCATAAGAGGCCACTGTTTGTCTTACTTTAGCTAACCAGCACACTTCCTGTAATGTTCTTTAGCTGTCGGAGCCAAAGGGTCCAATTACCCTCTGGCTAGCTTGGGAATCCTCTGTCTCTTTCTGCAGAGACGTCTCTTTCTGCACTTAATACTTCTGGCTTGAAAAACTTCCTCTATTGATACATTTAAATGAGCAGAGAGCAAACAGAGTCAGCTCCCTCTGTCTGGAGAAAGAAAGAAAAGGAGTTCTGAATCCTTTCGCGGATGGCGATTTGTGCTTGCTTGATTTTGTATATGTTTCATGCAGTTTGCTTGATAAGCGCGCCAGGACTGTGTTTTTCTCATCCATGACTAGGTGTGCAGAAGAGGAGGAAGACGGCAAAGAAAAGAACGTGAAGATTTCGGAGAGAGAATGGCCTGGGCTTTCACTGTGTGTGGAGTCTGCTGGGATAAACAGCCATTCACGAACATTTTGCATTTTAAATTCCAGGCACAAGCTGAAACCCAGAGAGGAACTTCTGTGAGGAGCTAGCAGACTCCAGCTTGGTAAGTCACTGCTTCAGACTGGCACTCTAGCAAGCCACTAGCAAGGATGCAGTTTAGGGGGGGATGTTTGAGTTCTGAGAAATTCTGTTTTCCCTATCCAAGATTTTACAGAACTAAGAATTCTCCCATGGTGGGAGGGGAGCGTGGGGACCTTATAACAAAACTGTTTTGGCGCACGTTTTTCTTCAAAGAATCAGAAAAATATCGATCCTACCAACCTCATCCCTACCCTGGCATAAAAACCTAATTGTCAGTGGTGTGGCAAGATGAAGAAGGTTAATGATGTGCAAATTATGCCTTTCATTCAATAAGTTCCTAGATATTGACTCTTGGTACATAAAATTTTCATGGACATGAGCTGAGGGACAGCCTTGTTTATGTGTTCATGTGTACCTGTGTATGCAGAAGTACATGTACACATGTGTATGGAGGACAGAAGACAATCTCATATGTCATTCCTCAGGAGATGTCCATCTTACTTTTTTGAGACAGGAACTTGCACAGTAGACTAGGCAGGTTGGCCAACAAGCCCCAGGGCTCTGTCTGTCTCTACCTCCCCAGGGCTGGAAGTGTATAGCACCACACTTGGCTTTTATAGATGGGTCCTGGGGATCGAACTCAGGTCCACAAGCCTGTAAAGCAAGCATTCCATGGATTGAACTATCTCTTCAGCCTTGGGGGATGACATTTTCTTTTGAAATTTAAGTCTATCCTCTTGTGAAGAAATTTAGACAAACTAAAAAATTAGATAGAGTAGTAATTTTCCTTTTATGCCCTTTGTTTGATAATAGTGTTTGTGTTAAAAAGATAAAAATCATCTGAAATGTGTTGAGTTGGTGACAAGTCAATTACAAAAATAATTATAAGTGATAGAAATATTAGACTAAGGCACCATATGTATTTTTAAGCTGGGTATCTAAATGTCAAAACCCAGAATTACAAGTGATAACAAACCACAAAGAACCTTTTCATTATCTTTAATTCTTTTTAGTCTTATAGTCAGACTCACCAAGTTGGTTTTTCCATGTCCTTTGCCCTCGTCCTATCAATGGAGAAACATCTAAATGTGAAATTGCTGCAGTTTATAGATACCAAAAGGAAACTTGTTACTAGACATATCAAGTATCCAGTCTCTATGTGGATCAGTTCCTAACAACAATAAATGTCACTATTCTCTTGCAAGATGAGTAACCACAGAAAACAACATATCTTTATAAATAATTTGGAAAAATAATTTGAAACCATGTAATCTTGTATTATGCCTGTTCTTAAGAAGACTAAATTCATGCAATAAGTAGCAAAGGCTGGAAGTGTTCTGGAATGTAGATAAAATGCCGGTATACTACCCTAGCCACAGTGAGGTAAGTGGACAGGACAGGAGACGGAAACACACGCGGGCTGTCAGGGTTCAGGAGTGCATGGTATACTTCTGTGGCTGTGATAGTTCTAGAGTCTTAGGAAGAATTCTTGCAGCATCAAGGGATATTATTTCTGCCCTTCTCCATCTGGAAGTTTTCATTTCCCTGAGATAGGAAAGGGAGGGAACTTCCTTGACTTCTTCAGGGCACCCTTTGTCCCCAAAAAGAAGGAACTAAAACTCTCAGTGTGGAATCTTAAGGAAGCCAGAGCAACTCTAGGGGAGGCCTTTGGGATTCTAGAGGGTTCATGCTTGAAGGGGCCTAAGGAAACATGAGGATTCCATGCAATTTTGTGTTGAATTTCTAGTGTAAACACTTTGCAAAGATCAGTAGAAAGGCACTTGTATAAGTGAAAGAGAGAAGCTGTCACTCTTAAACTGCCTCTGAAGCCAGGGCTTCTGTCTAGCCTGTGCCCCGTACCTCTGAATACTCATGGTGGCTTTCCAGAGGGTGTCTGTGCAGCCATGGAAAAGGACATAGACTTCTTCCTCTTTGTAAACAGATGTCAGTCAGCCTGGGAGACTCAAAAACACTGCAATCAGGTTAGTCTTGGTGAGTGAGCATCGTGGCCAAGAGAGGGATGGAGGTTTGTCGGGGTGACTTTGAGTTGGCAAAATGAAAATATAAGCAGAGGTTCAGAATCCAGGTGCAATGGATTGTGGGAAAGAAAAGAGGTGTGATAAAGAACTGAAGAGGAAAGAAAAAGGGAGATTGGTAGCCAGAAGCGAAGGAGGCACCGAGAGAGCCAGAAACAGGTGGACAGGAAAGACTATAACAGCCTGAACTGATTCTGCTCACAGAGTGCGTTTCTGTATTCTGGGTGGACAAGCATAGTCATGGTGCCTGGAAGGTAAAACAAAGGAATGCTCAAACAATTAGATACATAGTTAGAACATACAGGGTTTGTCTTCTATGCCTTCTAACTTTGAATACATGTGGGTTCTGTGCCTTGATCCTAGATGCCCATTCAGTATTGTACTGATAGCTTTCAATGGTCAGCTGGACACAACCTAGAATCACTTAGTAAGAGTCTTAACTAGGAATTCTGTAGAACAGGCCTGTGTGAATGTCTACAGGGAATTGTCTTGAATATTAACTGATATATAGCGATCAGCTCATTGTGGACAACACTAACCCCAAGGCAGAAGATTCTAATCTGTAAGAAATAAACATATATCTGAGAGCAATAAGGATACAAATTATCTCTTAGATCTTTACTATGGGTGTGGTTAGAATAGCTGCTTGAATCCCTGCTATGGTCTCCCTGGACTGATTTCACTAGAACTTGAAAATGTAAGCCAAACATCCCCACCCCAACTAGAAGAGGAAGGAAGCCACACAGATACCAGATGTTCATCCTCAAGTTTGTCATGTTACCGGAGGGGGTAGGATCCGAACCTGTGTCCCCAGCTGTTGGAGAAAGCCACTTGTTGGTTTTCAGGCGCCCAGCTAGTTTAGACCTGAAATAATCACACGGAAACTGTATTAATTAAATCTCTACTTGGCCCATTAGCTCTAGCTTCTTATTGGCTAACTTTATATTAATTTAACCCATTTTTATTAATCTGTATATTGCCACGGGGCTGTGGCTTACCTGGTAAAGTTCCCAGCATCTGTCTCCAGCAACTCCATGGCTTCTCTTTGACTCCACTTCCTTTTTCCCAGCATTCAGCTTGGTTTCCCCCACCTAGCTCTGTTCCCCTAGAGCTCTGCTATAGACCCAAAGCAGTTCCTTTATTTATCAATGGTAATCACAGCATACAAAAGGAAATTCCACATCAACTCCCATTTTCTGTTTAAATAAAAAGGAAGGTTTTAACTTTAACATAGAAAAATTACATATAACGAAATAGGTATTAAGCGAGAATTAAGGTTACAATATTTATATCTACTTTATCTTTTATTACAACTAAGGAAAACTATATTATTACTATCTATTTTTAACTCTATTAAAGACTCTAGAGGGATATAATATTACTTAAGTAAACAGTAAATGCACTGTAAGCAACTTCTAAAACTCTAGAATTGACAGAGACATTTTCCAACCAGGACAGTCACCCAAAGTTTTTTTTTGTACCATTGGGGCATCTATTTTTAGCCTAAAGGTGCATAGTATCTAGTAGACTTTTTTATGAAGCAGGAAATTTCAAAGATAGTTCTGCCTATATTGGCAGTTTGTCAGTCCCTTTTTTCTGTGTCCTTCAGAATGTCTAGCAGACTCTTTCATGAAACAGGAATCTTGAAGGACCATCTTTTACCTTTAGGCAAATTTAGTAGTCATTTTACTGCAGGTCCTGCATGTCCAGTTAAATAGTCCAGGCAAGAGCAGTTTCTTGTTCAAATGGCTAGCAAACTCCATAAGGAGTCTCTTTAATGTCCATCTTCCTTTTGAAGTAACTGGTAGTGTTAGGAGCAGACATGTCTCTGACATGAAAAGTCTTAATTTCTTAAAACATTTAAATGCTATATTCTGAAGGTCTCTGAAAGATTTGAAGAATACCTAACTGAAATTATATATATATATATATATATATATATATATATATATATATATATATAGAAAATCTAACTAACATGACTTGATTATTATAGATGACTATGTCTTAACCTATATTTTTAATTATACATTACATTTTTAAATGAACTAACAGACAAAATACCTTAGTCAAGAGAAGAAATACATATAACAAAACTGACCTTAAATTTTCATCAATAAATCAAGATCCATACAAATGCAAATCTCTATAGCACCCAGCAGCTATAATAAGCTAGGTTTGGCCACACATCTCAGATAGGCTAATTGAAAAGAACAAATTAATGGAGAAAAGCAGATGAAGGAGGTTAACTAGATGTAGGTGCATTGGGAAAAGAGGGAAAAGGATTCAGAGAAAGGCACAGTCTCCACCTATCCCCGAGACCCACAGCCATCTGTCCATCCATTTTTCAGGTCCTTAAATTAGGACAAAATTTCAATAGAAAACAGGAGAAGAGCATAATTAAGCAGCCCATCACTGACCCATCATTGCCTGGGCTCCCATCTTTCCCACAAGTTGGTTCCATTATTCGTTGCTATCCTGTGAAATCCTTTTCTTGGAGACAAGTTTCAGGCTTGCCCAGCCCAGATGTCAGTCTTTTTTTTCCTACCAGCAGAAATTCAGGGGAGAAGTTTCCATCAACTAGGGAGCCCTGTTTCAATAGTCCAGATAGCCATGTCTCCATTTCTTCTAGGCAGGCAGATTACTCAGGTTCTCTGAGTGTGGCAGATCCTGACAGCAGATCTGGGGCCTGGAAAGACTTTAGTATGATTTCAAAAATATTCCTTTGGGTACCTCCAGCTTCATTAAGGTGGGTGTAGATTTTTCTTGTGGTCATCTTCAATGTCTTATGTCCCCTCCACTCCTTTGACTATGGCCTATTCTGGATTCTTTCTACCCAAATAAAGTAGGGCCCCCTGGTATGAGACTTAGTGAAACATTTGTAAAGGTTTTACAAATAAGCGCTCCTACTCTTATTTATGGGCCATTCACTGACCCAAACGAGTTGTTTGCGTCTGTACCCAGCCAATGACAGAAGGCAAGGAGC